AGCATCTAAAAATTACTTTCTAGCTGCCAGGATTAACTTGAGAAAAGTAGACCAACTATTAATTATACAAGCCACGCAGAATCAAGGGCTCAGAACTTTTATTGCTGTACTTAGTGTAATTGAGATCCTAGGCAACAATTAATGCCCATATCCAGAACTGAAATGTAAAGCACAGCTAATGCAGCTCCCTAGAATGTACCTGTGGCATACAGTTAGAACTGTTTAGCCATTCATGTCAGCCATTATGACCTGAATGTGTTGAATGCCTGTGTAGACTGCAAACATTAATCTATATTATAAGCTTGGGGGGGTGGGAGCAAGCAAAACAGTTAAATGAGGTGGTCATTGCAAAGATCATGTAGCATCCTACACACTGAACTGGCTTCCTAATGCAGTGACAGGTGCTGCATTAATTTATTTTATGCAAACCTGATTACTACATTTTGGCTAACAGTGCTGGGGAAGAAACCGATACGAGGCTGGACGACAGGGAAGACCGCTGTGCTGATAAAACACTGGGAGGATCTGGGATCAGATTCTACCGTGCATTTAGTAGTGTCAGGCTAATGTACTTTAAAATCCACTTTGTTTGGAGATGCCAAGCTTCTGACAAACCCATGTGTGTAACAATACTTCCTCTGTCAATGCTGGCTACATAGATTGTAAATAGCAGAGGGACAGGTACCTGTATCTGTGCTTAATAACAAGAACTACTCATTTGTACAACTCATGTAACAGCAACATGATGAGGAACTGGTGAAGCTGAAGAAAAGAAAGTTAACACTAATGTTTTGCATGTCTTACTCAGGCTTGCTCTTAGAACTAATCTCTCTGTAGCTCAGAAGTCTCCATGTAATGTAGGGTGATAATACTTTCCATAGTTGTAAGGCTGCTGGAATTCCTCCTTCACTGCAAAGAAGTTAGACCTTGGAGATCCATTAACTGGAAGCTGCTATAAAACAGGCAAATATTGTAACCCAGTGAAAATCCCAAGCATTCAGAAAAAGTAAGCACCAGATCATGAGATTAGAAAGAAAAGAAATACAATTTTTATTTCCTCTCTGAGCCTCTAAGGTGCATGTCTGTTATGTCTTCAAGCTTTTGCCTGCAACAAGGTCAAATTGTAGAAGAATGACAGACAAATGAGATTCCTCTCTCTCAAATGAGAGATCTCAGTCATCCAAAGTCTTTCATAAAAGCACCAATTATCAAAAGGGTCATGATAAAAATAATTTGATCTAGAAATGCTGTTTATCTGTGAGAGGTACCTCCCTCTCTTGTTACACAGGCCGGATGAAATTGATGGTTCACTTCGGTGAACACCAGAACCACCGCTGACTTCCACAAGGCAAGGTTTGACACTCTGTTCCTTGCATATAAAGAGGTTGTCAATATATCAGAAATGGGGAATGATGAAATGTGTGAGGAAGTGCAAACAAGGCTGCTAGACACAAGCAAGAACTGCACCACGTTTACCCCTTAATTCTTCTACTAGAAAGCCATTGTCCATCAGATTAACACAAGTATTCTTTATCTGTAACTGACCCTGCAGCTTGAGGAAAAAGCCTTGAATGCCATGAGCATATTAGGAGAGCTTTTGCACATGGAATAATCACTGAAGAAAAACAGTAGAAGCCCTTTTCACAGAACCTTTTTTAAAGCAAGGCTGGATAAAAACGGACAGCAGGGAACAATTCTACCTTGGCAGCTTCAGCAGGTGCCCACAGCTATGTCACAGTGAATTAAACAAAATGAAATCAAACAACAACAACAAAGATAATCTAGATAAGGATCAAGGCAACCTTGGAATGCCACCATTCCAAAAGGACACTTGCAGAAGTGTAAGAGACTAATAAGAAGGAAATGGAACTACCGGACTTCCTTTATGAAATATAGGAGTTGAGATGGTTTCGAATCATAGTATGTAATGCCAGGTGACTGCTGGATCACTTAATCTCCCTGCCTATATACCCCAGGTCATTATGCCTCATGCAGTTACTCCCAGGCTGACTAACTGTTGGGTGCCATCAGGTCACCACAGAGAGATACCAATGGGTAATATTTGTTTAGATCTTCCCAGGTTGTCATAGCCAGCTATTCATGCCTCTGCTGCTTTGACCACTGCAGGCAGGTTCTCTGCAGCAGTCTGTCCACATTGTACAGAAACTCTTCTGACAGTATAAAACCAGAACACCCTTACAGTATTTTCAGTCCTCCCTGTTCACAAAAGCATCATGCTCAACCACAAACACTATGGAAAGATCATAAGTGGTAAAGCTCCTGCCAAAATGTAAGATCTGATCAACAAAAAAGGTCAAAACTCTTCCCTTCTAACAATCACAGGCAGGTAGGAGAGAGACCTCAGTGACTGCAAAGGATGACAAACAGCAACAAACTGCTCAGTGAGGGATAAATCCTCAGTAGCGCAGCTATGGCTCCAGGATAACCGCTTTAAAATTAATTCTTCAAACACACCCTATTTTCCACCTTTGTGAAAGCAGCTCTCAGATTCTGGCCTGGTTAGAGAGCCAAATTTAAGTTTGGCATCAAAATACCAGAAAGACTTACCTCCAAATCACAGTGGCTAATGGCCATTTAAAATTCCACCTAAATCAGCACTTAAGACTGTTGTACACCAGATTTCAAGGACAGCATAGCAGAGGTTGCCTGAAGATTAGAACTAAAAGGAGATTTGCGTCCTTCTGAACTATGTTTGGAACTCCCTGGCTTCACTTTTTTCAATCAAATTACCTTGAAAAATAATCTAGCAATATTAGAAAATAACGGTTCAGACACTGAAGATGCTCAGAATCTCCAGTATGCAATCTGCAAAAGATAGTCTTAACTCTTATCCCAACTATTTTGCTAGAAATGTTGAAGGCAACAGAACCCAGCCTTTTGTTGGAATAAACGCTGCATCAACCACACAGTGAAAAGGAACTCAACCAATAAATCTTTTCAGGAGGAAAAAGAGCACATCCTGATTTGCTACTGTTTCCAGGTCAGTATTATTTGCTCCTCGTATGTCATAGAAGTATTTACTAAAGCTAGTAGTGTCACCAATTTTATCACAGGTACTCATTTATCTGAAAACATACACAGTGTCATTTATGGTACTCTGTTTCAAGTGCTTTGGTCATATAACCAGAAATCGCAAGCAACTGAGGGAACGCTTTCTTCATTACTGTGAATCTGGGTGACCAGCACAGTGACCAAGGCTTGTTCTTTAGCCATTTGAGCACAGCCACATCAGAGCCTTACACACAAAATCATGTTTTCACTGCATGCATTTGGTGTGTGTAGCTCTAGCTGCATCTCTCGTGATTCTCAGTACTGAAATTCCTTCTCGGTCAGCTATGCTAACTTGGGAAGTTGTCCGGCCTTCTGGGGAAAATTGTTGGGAGGGCACTGAAGAACTATCAGTTCTTAAGTGATCTTCCCTGAACCCTCAAAGCAAAGTGGGAAGGTTCCAATCCAAACAAAAGCTCATTCTGTGCTTTAATGCAGACCCATACCTAAAGCTGGATATTGCCATAATCTCAATGCAAGACTTTTCACAGAGCGTGAAGTACACACTACAATGTAGGCAGTGGTGATAAGCAGGTGAGATGGTGTGCGGAACCACACCCCCTCGTCCCTTCCATGTCGCTCAGCTCACTTCTGTTGCTTACAATACAAGCAAGTGTGGATGGCTCCATGGAACAAAAAGGATCAGATCTGAAAGTCGTGTGTATGCTGCTTACCTTTGTTACGTGGGGGAAAAGGCAGCAGTTGCCACGACTATGTTGGAACAATGCATCAAGCAGCAGCTTTACCTGTCCAGCTGTGGGAAGCCCTATGCCCCCATTCTTGAGTCAGTAGGAATGAAAAGGGCTGGAATGCCATACAGACTCTCTGCTCATTCCCACCAATTTAACTTTGAGTGAATTTAATTTCCAAGCTTTTATTTTCTGTCCCCAAAGCCTGGATAGACCACAGACCAGCTTTTCGTGCTCCAACAGTTTTAAAGACCCCTTAAGACATGGCTTAATCAAGATTACACGAAATAGGCTGTCATCTGTGAAAGCTAAGTCTCAAGTATCGCACAGTTTTATGTGACTGAATCACGATGTACCGCCTGGCTGCCACCTCCTGGTGTCAAGGATTGTACAGGAGCTCTGAACTCTTTCCATAGAGCTGGACACACAGAAAAAGTATTACACAAAATGTCTCAGTGCCAGATAAGCTTCCCACTAACTGGGGTTTCTGAGTTACAAGGCTCCACTACGCTGCAGAAAAAGTTTTATCACTGGGAGGAATGTGTGTGTTTGTACTAGTTTAGGTCATGGAGACCATGACAGCTTGCATGAGGCCCAACTCTCAGGGACAAGCTGCAGCCATGCAGGACAGTGGTTGTGCAGCAAAACTGTCTCGCTGCAGGATGCTAAGTCACTATCTTAGGAAAACATGTTACTGCCCTGCTATATGCTGAGCTGTTCTCGTTTGTGAGCTTGCCAACTGGCAAAACAGCATTGCTGGCACACAGACCCCCCCTGAATCGAGTCCAGAAAGGATACACAGATACACCCATATGTATATTGATAGCTGAGACTGCATCAGCTTCTCTTCTTACTTCTAACCACACTGAACTGACAGCTTGCTACCACTTTAACCGAGATCCCAGTTTGACCAAGCAGTGCCATAATCAGGAATATCTCTAGGTGGTATCAGGGCCAAGACCGTTTCTCAGAGCACCTCCCAAAAGCCCATTGACCCTGCACTGCAAAAGAGGAGCCCCGTGTCCCTAAACGCTCCCCCATGCCGGCACAGAGCCTAGCAACACCCGTGAAGCATCTGCTCATGCACCCTCCTGGCCCTCCCTCCCGCCGCCTCCCCGGCCGCGGACAGCGCTTACTTGGCTCCGGCCAGCGACCGCTAGCTTGGCACGGCTGGAGAACCTTCCGCCGGACGAAACCTGCCCCGGAGACCCGGGCCCCGCGGCCGGGGGGCTCCCCGCCGCCTCGTCCGCCCACTCCTGCGGCAGCCCCGCCGACCGGCCGAGAGCCTCCACCTGCCGAGACAGGCGCTCCAGCTGCGCCCGCAGGCGTGTCCTATGTCA